GGAACTTGCCCCTTCGTACTCTGTTTGCCGCCAGAGCCCAGCAACATAAACGAAACTGCATTAGCTTACGATGTGCTAAACGAGGAATGAAAACCTTAGCATGTGTTGGCCACATTAACGGCTGCGGCTCCCGAAAAGGGCAGCCCCATCCATTGCTTATACCTCGCCATCTGTACTCCCGGTTGCTTCCCATCTGATGGGTACTCCTCTGGCAAGACAGTCAGACGCGCATGGTCCCAGCCGCTCGTCAAACGCTCCCTTTGTGCCGTTATCACCGCTCCTTCGGGGAAAGGTCTACTCAACAACCAGTCAACACGCTCCAGTACCCCCATGATTTCTTGCGGTATTCCACTCAAATATTGCACTGCAAGAAGGAAAACAGCCGTAACATTGAGGTCCCCCAACCGACCCATTAGCCTGCTGCTGCATGGTAGCTAGGGCTTCCAGGGAGTGTGAGTTTGTGTTTGGAGTCATCTGGAGCGGTTTACTTGGTTGCAGAGGTGCAAGCGTCTAACAGCGTCTAACAGGCGCTTTGGCTGGTAAGTAGCAGTAATTCAGACGGATAGCCAGCTACACTTGCAGCACAGTAAAACTGGAGTTTGATTACAGACCATGATGCCTGCATGCTTTGCCCTATAGGGAAATGGCATTCCTATAGGAGAAGGCACATTATCACAATAACATAGAAAAGCAAGCGAACGAGTGGGGAGCTGCAGTCAAGTAGCCGGCTGGTGGGCAGAGGCAGCGCGGTGTGCTACAGGACACCGCAGATATCTGTTGGGCTACCGCACCCTTCAGCATTAAAGCTTTCAACGGGTCTGGGACTATTGTGCCGACTAAGTATACGAGACGTGTCCACCGAGCCCTTCGGCTTTTGGCGTACAGGGGCCATTTACGCGAATGTTTTAGAGGATTTTTAATTTTATTTAATATCATTTATCTAATTTATTTTCGCATGGGCGATTTGCTGCGCCAGGTGCCCGGATTTCCAAACTTATTGTTAATGTTCGGCCAAGTGGAAACACCATGTAACGTTTGTAATTATTCGCTTCGATGATGATGCCCATAAGACCAGTTTCTCCTCAATTTACTCGCACGTGTTTTGCAAATGCTGATTTTGCTTGACACAGGGCTCCGATATTCCTCTATATTCGGTGGTCCTTCTATCTTTGTTGACCCAAAACTCGCTTACTCCATCTCCTCCTCCTCCTCCGGCGGCGGCGGTGGTGGTGGTGGTGGTGGCGGCGGAGGTGAGGGGGGTTCCAGTCCAAATGGCGGTGGCGGGCTACGGATTCCAGGGGCTCTGGGCCGGCACGGAGAGGGCGGCATCCTTGGGGGGGGGGTGAGGGTGGCGGTGACCTCCGGCGGGGCGGAACCGGAGGTGTGGGAGGAAATTAGATAAATGATATTAAATAAAATTAAAAATCCTCTAAAACATTCGCGTAAATGGCCCCTGTACGCGAAAAGCCGAAGGGCCCGGTGGACACGTCTCGTATACTTAGTCGGCACAATAGTCCCAGACCCGTTGAAAGCTTTAATGCTGAAGGGTGCGGTAGCCCAACAGATATCTGCGGTGTCCTGTAGCACACCGCGCTGCCTCTGCCCACCAGCCGGCTACTTGACTGCAGCTCCCCACTAGTTCGCTTGCTTTTCTATGTTATTGTGATAATGTGCCTTCTCCTATAGGAATGCCATTTCCCTATAGGGCAAAGCATGCAGGCATCATGGTCTGTAATCAAACTCCAGTTTTACTGTGCTGCAAGCAAGTCCCAAGCGAGTGTAGCTGGCTATCCGTCTGAATTACTGCTACTTACCAGCCAAAGCGCCTGTTAGACGCTGTTAGACGCTTGCACCTCTGCAACCAAGTAAACCGCTCCAGATGACTCCAAACACAAACTCACACTCCCTGGAAGCCCTAGCGAGCTGGGACCCCTTTGACACGCCGTGCCTGCTGGCCGATATGCATACCCCAGCACCTGGAAACGAACATATGTGTGTGTATTTGTGTGTTACAACTTGAGGTAAATAACCCTCCGAAGGCGTAACGGCCCATACGAGCCGGGGCCAGTTTAGGGCTGTCCAAAATGGAAAAAAAGGAAAAGGAAAATCTAAAGACTATTATCCCATTACCCAATATCAGAAAAGAAAAGAAAACTATATCAACAACTAGTTGAGCTACCAGGACTCGTATGCCGTAGCGTTGTGCCTGCTATTCCTGTGGATAAGGTTCGGCAACTTAAGCTGGCCAACCGCAGCCATCGCGTCCGTCATAATCTGATCTATCCGGACCCGACAGAAAGCTCCTACATGTGCTATATGCTGGGCGCTCCAAGAGTACATGCTCGTCGTCCTCCGCGGCTTGGCCAAGCCGTAAAACTTGCAGATCCTCTGCCCACTCGGGAACCCCCCATAATCTCTATACACCATTTATACCAGGAGAGATATAGCTGAAGTGCCAACGTATGGATTATAATTCGAGATCATCTTCATAATTAATCCGTCGACGGGAAATTTGTCAAAAATCAGTCAACCAGCCAGCCAATAATATGAGAAAGCAGCCAAGCAAGCAAGCAAGCGGGCAAGCAAAAACGATTCTTATCGACTCATCAAGGAATCTTTTCGGGAAGGAGCCTAAGCAAGCAGCCTAGATCGTGACATCCATCGCAGCCATGTCGCCACCTACCTACATACTTACGTACCTACCTACCTACCTACCTACCTACCTACCTACAGGCACGGTATGGTGCGTGTGACATGCGCCAGCGGCAGCTACACCCTTAGCGGCAGCTACATCCTATATAATAATTAAAAGCACCTGCAACATACATCGTAGGTAGCTAGCGAGGGAGCGAAGTAACCTAGATAGATAAAAAGATAGATATATCCATCAGATAGATTAGATAGACCGATAAGATAGAAACTAAATCCTCTACGTGCCATGCCAGGCAGCAGGTACACAAAAGCAGCAGCAGCAGCAGCAGCAGCAGTGGTACATCTATCTGGACAGCCTGTTACCTGAATTTGCTTTACCAGTACGGGCTGTCCGTGCATCAAACGAGGAGCTTTCAGAGCTCGGTCGCCATCAGTAGCTATTCCGGCGAGCTGGCGGGGCAATCACGGGAAGGCATGTAGGTCCAACCGGCAGCCAACATATGCGCCGCTAGCCTGGGACCTTAACCTCTTCCACTAGGAGTGGCATTGTTCGGCGAATGCAAATGGCTCGCTTACTCCATCTCCTCCTCCTCCGGCGGCGGCGGCGGCGGTGGTGGTGGTGGTGGCGGCGGAGGTGAGGGGGGTTCCAGTCCAAATGGCGGTGGCGGGCTACGGATTCCAGGGGCCCTGAGCCGGCGCGGAGAGGGCGGCATCCTTGGCGGGGGGGGTGAGGGTGGCGGTGCCCTCCGGCGGGGCGGAACCGGAGGTGAGGGAGGACAGGGGGGAGAAGGACCCCGCAAGGATGTAGCGCCTGTATGGCAAGGAGGCCTCGGAGGTGGCGGCTTCGGTTGTGGAGGCGGTGGTGGTGCTGGTGATCGTCGCTGGGGTGGGGGTGAGGGCGGCGGCCGTGATGGGGGCCGACGGAAAAGTGGGGTGGATGGCAGCTGCCGGCCGCTGACCAGGGACAGCTGGAGCAGTAGCGGAAGGAGCAGAAGGATTGTCGGTAGGGTCACCGGTGCCATAATCTTTAGGCGCAGCTGGATGGATGGCCTTGCTTGTTGTCGTTGCCCGTTCTATCGATAGAGGATAACCGGATCGTGACGTTATAGCCTGCTTGCAGCCGCCTGTCCTGCGCTGGCCTATCTATCTACTTGGCTGACTGCCCGTACGTCTCCTAACGCCATTCCTCACTAGCTAGCTTGGCCTTCCTAAGGGGATCCTATCTTGCCGTCAGGCAGCAGTCACGGGGATCCTCTAGAGT